GAATGAACTTTTATTCGAGTCGAATGCGTTTTTTCGTACTCGCGTTTCAATTTTACAACCCCTTTTAAAGTTCGAAAATCAGGCGGATATAAACTATCGAATTGTCTTGTGAAACTTTGGCGCGTTCTTTTCGCGATATATTTCCAATTTTATGGATTTCTTATTCCTTTTTCTGAAAGGATTTATCTTACATAGACGTGGAAATATATTTCGTTAAAGCATGGCCAAAAATTTTGTACATTTATTGTGTTGCGGAGGCTGCACCATTATGAATGAACTTTTATTCGAGTCGAACAGAAGTTGAAGAAAAACACGCGAAAGAAGCGTGACGGTTGCCGGGAAGAAGAGAAAAGAAAGAAGCAAGGGGGAAGCATGCAAAGGGAAAAGAAAAATTATCCCCCCTCCGAAGATATGCTCGCTTTATGCTTTATTAACCCTTATCGGTCGTAAGTCACCATCTCACGTGACAACAGTACTTTGTTATGATGAGCAATTGACATCTCCAGTGTGATAACTCATTGCCTTTTATACTCAATTTTTAATATACAGTAAGAAACATAAGTGAACCAATGATCACAAGTTTTGCACAAATCATTATTTATTACTAGGAATATAAAAAATTATAATTATTTTTATCACAGTTAGAAGTAACGTAAGAAAGTCTTTCGAGAATTAACATCTTGTTGTTTATGAATAATAGGAACGATAGATCGACTCAGTTTTGCACCACGTATATGCACAATATTGAATATATTATTTATTTTTAATATTTCGTTCACAACCTTTTCGTTTAAAAAACTGCACCGATTCTCTTTGGCACACTTTCTATTAACTTTTTACAATAATCTGGAGATATTTGTTCCCACTGTTCTTGAATTCTGTTAAGCAAATTCGTGATTGAAGTCATATAAATCCCGAAGTTGTTTTTTCAGTAACTATTTATAATAGAGAATTTATGGGGGTTGAGATCGGGGCTCTGTGCAGGTCAATCCAAAACAGAAAATTTTTTAACAATTTTCCACACTTTTACTTGTGTGCTTAGGGCTCTCGATCATGAAAATTACATTTTCTTCTTCGAATGGCATATTTTCAACAGTATCTATGAGATCTTGTAAAATATCTTTGTACACACTGATTCATGATGCTATTAATTTGGTGCAGCGATCCAACACCAAATGCTGTTAGGCACCCCCCAAAACATTGGTTTGCTCTACATGTCGTGGTTTAAGCCTTTCATTTTAACGAATCCAGCACCCAAGACACGCCATCCGAACAAATTCTGTTAATTTTGGTCTCGTCCGACCAAATAACCCGTTCCCATTCAGTAGTTGTCCAGTTTTTATACTTTTTAGCAAATTCCAGACGAAGTTTAATATTCTTCTTTGATAACACTGGCTTCTTTTTCTTCTTAATGCCTCTAAAGTCAGCTTGTTCGAGGGTCCTTCGTGCTGTCCACTTATTTGCATATTCGTATCTTCTTTTAATAATCGTACAGCCATGGTGGGCACTTGAAGCTTCACCGGATGTGACAAACCGTATAATTCTTTGTTCATCCTTCAACATTAAGCAGTTAACTTTACAGTAGTTTTTTCTTATTCTCTGCACTGTCGATCGACCAACACTATAATTTGACGCGTTGACAAACCGCCATTCAAAAAAGAAATGACTTTATTTAAACAATTTGGAGCAAGTCACTTCGTACTTATTCTTACGTCACTTCCGTTTGACTGATTGAGTGCTAATACGTACAATAACATTTTATAAACATTCCAAGCTGCTAGCTGTAAACATTCCTTTTACTGAGTCGATCCATTTTCTTTGCCATCGCCAAACCAGGAGACATTAATTATTGAAAAACTTTCTTATATTACTTCTAAATATGATAAAAATTACTGTAATATTTATTTCTCAATATTCTTCCACGTTCTTAACGATAAATAAAAATGTATACAAAACTTGTGGTCATTGGTTCATTTATGCTCCTTACTGCATATCGAGCCGAAAAATGAATAAATTTTATAAATTTCGACACCGAACAGTGAATGTTTTGAAAACAATTCTGAAAGTGATTTTGATTCTAGTCACGTCTTGTTACAAAAAAGTTATGCCTATGAAATATCCAAGCGACCAATAAAAAGCTGGCGACCGATAAAAATTCTCTTCCAGCAGAATTGAAGAAGAAAAATGAAGTTTAAGAACGCGAGAGCTCAAGAAGAGTATAAGAAACGTAATTAAGGAAGTAGCGTCGTAAAATTTAAGCAGTGTCGTAACGATTAGTTCCAGCTTATTTTTTTTTTCAAATGAATTTCGGGGAGCGGGGAAAGCAGGGAAGATTATGCGTATAACCATCGAGGAGGAAATTAAGGAAGAGTATGAAAAAGAAGCATGCACACGGGGTACCTTCAAGCTCGATTAAAGCGTACGAGGCGAACAGTTCGCGGGGCAGGAATTTCGTGGAAAGAAGACAAATTATACGTAAACGACGGCGGAGGGAATTCGGAAGTACTTCGCGCGGGAAAATAAACGGAACAAAAGCGACGAGAATTTTTCGAAGCGAACGAAGCGATTGCGAGAAGCGGGAGCTGAAAATTTTTGGCAACTGTAAATCCGTTTTATCCGTTGGATAAAAGAAACGAGATACACGTTTCGCAGGTCTTCTCTTCGGGCTTCTCTGAATGGAGGCTGGAGGCAAAAGAGAAAAACGCGACGCAGAACCAGAACAAGAAACGGAGGGCCTCGCGGGACTAAAAGGAAGCGAGGAGATTAAAAAGGGAATATCGCCATCGTTTAAAGGTATTTCCGTAGCTCGAGACGGTGGGGAAATTATCAGGGAAAAGGAGCACACTGGTGTTTCGATGATCAAATGCAGAAGAGATGAAGAGATTTTGAAGGGGCGAAGTATGGAGGATCGAGAGGATCGAGAGGATCTACGGCCACGAGCGCGTATGAATCGGAGGAACGGACTAATCTCGGAATAATTGGCGGACGGTGATGGGTAAAGAAAGGGTTCAGCGGGGCGGGGGGAGCAAAAGGACACACGAAAGTTGGGGGAAAGTTGGACTCGCAGGACGCGACCGATACGCGCGGTTCGGTGTGAACGGAGCTTAAATTCCGTTCCAAGGAGCTTCGTGGAGAAGGACAAAGAAGTCAGGAGGAAAAAGATGAAGGGAGACCGCAGGAAAAGAACGAGGAGAGGAGAAGGAAAAGAAGAAGAAACGTGGTCTCGCCGCCGCATACCTTACACGACGCGTAATGAGAACATACCAGCGTCGTTCGGCCTGCTATCTGCTATCAAACGGATACCACCGGTTCAACCGCGGATAAACCGTGTACCGGGCCCCAAGCAAACTCGGATCCGTTTCACATCGGGAATATTATCATCGAAATTGCTTGGAATATTGGCGATCGATAGCGGGGGCCCCAACGTGCCTGGTTTAAAAACGCTCGTCGATCTGGGGGTTTCAATTCTCACCACAGTATTAATTTAACGAATATAATACGTGGTAGTAAACCTTTCCAAGAGAAATTTAGAAGAACTAAAACTAAGATGTTTATTTACAGTTAAGATTGAGCGTTCTTCTTGTCTACTGTACAGTAAATTGTGCTGTATAATTAAATTGTGATCATAATATTAAGCAAATAACACTGAACGAGTCTGTAAAAGATTATTTGAATTTGCAACTTGGGTTTCAAGAACTAATATGCCAAAGTAGACTGTTCTGATTGAAAATTGATTTATCATCAGTTTTTGAGTAAATAGCAAATTTGCAACTTCGTTGTTCGAACTGTAACAGCATTTTTAAAATTAATTTACGATGGCATTGAATTATGCCTAGCGATTTAAATTAGCGATTAATTACAGTTGAGAATAGTGTTTATGGGGAATCGAAAAGAGATTGAGCGTTCTTCTTGTCTACTGTATAGTAAATTGTGCAGTATAATTAAATTGTGATCATAATATTAAGCAAATAGCACTGAACGAGTCTGCAAAAGATTATTTGAATTTGCAACTTGGGTTTCAAGAACTAATATGCCAAAGTAGACTGTTCTGATTGAAAATTGATTTATCACCAGTTTTTGAGTAAATAGCAAATTTGCAACTTCGTTGTTCGAACTGTAACAGCATTTTTAAAATTAATTTACGATGGCATTGAATTATGCCTAGCGATTTAAATTAGCGATTAATTACAGTTGAGAATAGTGTTTATGGGGAATCGAAAAGAGATTGAGCGTTCTTCTTGTCTACTGTATAGTAAATTGTGCAGTATAATTAAATTGTGATCATAATATTAAGCAAATAGCACTGAACGAGTCTGTAAAAGATTATTTGAATTTGCAACTTGGGTTTCAAGAACTAATATGCCAAAGTAGACTGTTCTAATTGAAAATTGATTTATCACCAGTTTTTGAGTAAATAGCAAATTTGCAACTTCGTTGTTCGAACTGTAACAGCATTTTTAAAATTAATTTACGATGGTATTGAATTATGGCTAGCGATTTAAATTAGCGACTGTTCCAGGTAGAAAGTGCTCGCAGCTTACGAGTTCTGCCACGACATGGCGTTCGAAGTAACTCGTCGCGTAATATAATTAAATTTTGTTTGATTTTTTAATGAATTTCCTCTCGTTTACATTTTTAGTGTGAAAATCAATTTGATTTTCTCAATATTTCACAAATTTTTGAAACATTTTAGAAAAATTATATCGAATAGGTTTTAAATGAACTCATTTGTCGAGAATAGTAGTGGAAATGTACATTACAAGGGAATATAGAACCTTTAGGTCGAGTATCTTCCAACAGAAAATATTTCTATAATTTCTACTTACTACGTAAACCAAACCGAAGGATAAAACACTGTATCATATCGTCGTTTTATCACTGATAAAAATATAATAATTAATATATTTATTATCATTATCTGACATAATTACAAATGTATGTTATCATTGTAGACACTATATCTTTCGAGTTCGAAAACGACCACCGTTCCGGGAGGGGGTTTGAGGGGGAGTGGTCCTAATTTCAAGGACTCCTTCCGGTCAAAGTAACTATTCGAAAGTTAACGAATACCACAGAGAGACGAAAACGTAAACGAAAACGAAAACGAACTCGAACTCGAACTTTACAAAGTCGCCTGAGAAACAAAAAACGCTCTGGTACGAACAGAAAATGCAACCGGTCGTGAAAAACGATCCGGCGATCCGGTTTTCTGCGACGAGACGAAAACCACCTATGGTCGAACACCGCGTTCATCTAAACAGCGATAAAATCCAACATCCTTCAAACCAGCTCGAAGGGCGACGGGTAAATAATTGACGCAATTCAATCTACAATTGTATTAAACCTCCTATTTTATTATCTGTGTGCTTTTGAGCGGTCTGTCGTTTGAAATTTCGCGCGCTCGTCCGCGGACGATCGACGCGCCTCGTTTACGATCGCGTGTGCCCCTCCGTCTCGTCCATTCGTTGCTCCGCGTTTCTCGTCCTCTCGAGAGAGGAACGGTCTCTCTCGATCGATTCTTGTCGCAATCAACTTTGACAACTCGCCCATCAATTCGTCGGGACTCTTCTCCCATTCCCTCTTCCCCTCCTTCGTACCTTTTTTTTCCTCCATTTTCGTTCCCTCGATCCCGATACAAATATTGGCGGGTACGAACGGCGAATATAATCACGGCAATTCCTTACGCGTTCACGTTCTATGCCTCGAGATCACGCAACAAAACACGCGAAAGAAGGTTTACTCGCACGGGGGGGGGGATATTTTCTTCCGGGGGGGGATCTCTCTCCTGACGTTTATTACACGCGAGGAATACTCGAACAATTAAGTCCCTCCAATGGCGGATCTCCGAAGTTGCTCGAAGGGAGGAGGGGCCAACGAAAACATATAAACAGGAGTATCTCTCGACGTTCTCGTCGATGAAATCGCTTCGAGGGATTAAAATTCGGATTGCATACTTTTTTTTTTCTTTTTTGGTCAATCCCCTCCCCCCTTGCGTTCACCGCCGTATTTCGAATCCTCGCGGCTGGCATACTCGGGTGTTTCGTTTTATTTTTCGTTCTATCATGGCGGAACACGACGTTCCTGAAGGTACTTTGTTTCGATGAGCGTTTCAGTTTCGACGTAAATTTTTGTCGGAGCTCGTTTAACCCTCTTCAGTCGCGGACTTCGATAAATTCGATCGATTGGCCACGGTGGTCACCGGTGACCGACACTTTACACTTTCCATACTAATACTTGGTAAAATCGTAAATAACTTTAATTTGAGATATTGCAAAACAACATGTTCGTTGAATTATAGAATATTTCTGTTTCTGAAAATTGGCGTGGCAGTTAACGTGTTAACACAGACTATCGTAACACAGACTATGATTAAAATAAAAGATATCTCGTCCACTATGTTCAAGAAAATTAAGTCTCAATGTTATTAAAATTTCATACTTAAAAAATGCAAAAAAGACTGAAAGGGTTAAATGACCCGACGGAACTAACTGCTCAGGGAATGAAACACTGAGAATAGGTTGATCGAAAACCAGAGGCTCGTAGAATCGTCACGAACAATGATATAGTAAAAGTTCGTTGATTTGCATTTGGCGTAAATCTTATTCACAATTGTTTATTTACAAGAACAGTTTCGCCGACAACATTAGCGATCGGTAGAAACTAATCTTTGCGTCGTTCTCTTCGCGGTCCGTTCCAAACAATTCGCCCTACGCTTAAATTATCTACAGTTCACGATACCTTGATCGCAAAAATCTTACGTTGTACTGTTCACTTTCACGTGTTCGCGCGACTAGCAAAAATCAACACTCGATCACGATCGAACGAAACAATAATTTATTCGAACGAACGTTTCGCTGGTTTCGTTTCGCGGGATTTTCAGCCGATTCGACGATGTCGCAATTCACGATTCTTATACTAACGCCTCTCTTCCTCGACTTTCTTCATCCTCGACGCGTTTTCGCGATGGCACTTTGTGCGTCGCGATTCAATTAATAAACGCTTGCAACGACACTAAGGTATTCGCTTATCGATACCGGGCAACGGTTTTACAAACGATAAAGTACAAACAACGCATCGCTTCTAGGAATTGGTATAACGAGGATGATCACAGAACGAAATCGATTGGCCGTTTCGAGGACGCTGAGGAACTGTTACCCGCCATCTTTTTATTCCTTCGCCTTTATCAAATCAGACTGCTTCTAAATAAAATTCAGACTTTTAACAACAACTTTCTAGAAGAGGTTTCTTCCCTAATTTCATCCAGTGTTTGGCTTTCAAAATTTTGTTTTAAAGTGGCTATTCTACATAATCGTTTTAATATACGTAATAATCTTTTTTTATATTTAAATACTGGAGTACCAATCAAAACAATAAACAATCGCTATTTAAAAATATTTCTAATACCATTGTACATACATACGTACAATAAGGTTTACTTAAACTTGAATCCTATTAGGTGTTTCGAGCACTGTTCTTTCCTCCCGGATAACTGACACGTTGACTGTGGCGGGGGAAGTCGCGTGGAACGTGGCCAGTCGATTCCATTCCGACTTGTAGCTTTGCTGTACGCTTCGGTAAACACTCGCATATATGGAGAATTCGTGAAATACGCAGTGGACGATTTTTCACCTTCTTAAAAGCTAAATCGAGTCCTATATCCGTAAGTGAACGTGGTAATCTTTTTCTAATTAATAACAAGACACAATCGGTGAATAAACAATCCTCATTCTCGCTTTTGATGTTCGACGCTCGTTAAAGTATGAATAAGATTTCAATTCCTGCGTATCAATAAAGTATGCAAATGTCGTAATACGTAATACGTGTATAAAAACGGAATCCAAAAGTCGTGTTTGATATATCGATCGTTACTAAACGGCGAGCACGGTGTTCGCGATTATTAACGTTTGTGCCTGACCTGGTAACTTGGAATTATCTACTTAAAGCATCGTTTCTCAATTTTCAACGGCCGGTTCGACTAATCTATTTTCCAGCTGATTTAATAATAATATTATTTTAGTCAAATACCGAGTATTGTGCGTTTCATTTTTTCTGAAGTCATTCGCTTACGATCGCTATGTGAATAAATGAACGAAGAACATGGTTTTGGAAGAGGAACTGTATAAATTCCAATTTTCATGGAAGACCTAAATTCAAAGGTCGAGAAACTGGGTCCGATTTGTTCGTTAAAACTATACTCTTGATTGTTCGATGAAAGTTAACGGTAACAAAAAATTGCACGTCATAAGTTTGAATTTTTTCGTGCACTTTTTTTTTGGTACTGTGCGCTCCTATTTTTCCCCGGGAATCCTTTTTTCTAGATTACCCTGTACGCACACCCTTCGTGAAAAATGGGTCATGTTTTTGAAACATCAAACGAAACAGGGACGAAACGTGCACCGAGGGGTTTTGGCATTTGGAAGCGTTTCCACCGATTACCTAATTTTTTAAAGCGCGTTAAACGTTTCGATGAGAAATAATTTTAATAGTCGATTGCTGCTCGAAATTCTCTCAAAACTATAGCGTTAACGTTCGTAAATAAATCGCGTACCGCGTTCGAGAAACGTTGCTTCGAGTATCGATCGCATTTCCAGCGTTTAATCCGTAATAAATAGAACGCCACTGATAGCTAGCAATTGTAATAAAGGTGTGTTTGCGACATCGAGTCCGATAAGACGCGTGAACCCGTCGATCAGGATCGTTTGCAACAACGAGACGAAGTCGGTGAGAATCTGAAATATCGACAGCTAGAAGAGAAAATCTGAGAAAATTCGACGTGCCACAGAGAGAGAGGGGTGAATCGCGTAATTCTGTACAAAAAGTTGAGTAATCGAGGATGGTTTGTTCTCTAGGACAAGATGAATTCGATCCGGTCCTCGGTGAAGGCGAGTTTTGTAAATTCGTGCAAACACATATCGGTAAATATACAAAGCGGTACAAGCTATTTACCCAGCAACATATTCGTAAGAGAGCGTGACGACAAAATTAACGTACCTGGTGACAATTCACGCTTTCGACTTTTCTCCTGCATTCGTTCGTGACTAAACCACGGTTAACGTTTCGAGTGTCAAGACTTTCGAAGAATCGCGAATTTGAAGAGTATTTGCGACATGATCCACGTGATGAATTTGCGCGCGACAATCGAAACGACGATGACAATGGTTGGTGAGCTTGTGATCTGCGACAATGTTCGTTAGGAACCGGAAACAGGAAGAGGCGAAGGACACCTTAATGGATCTTCGCTGCTTCGACTTCTTTGCCTCTTCGTGCGGTAGATCGGCCTGTGTCAACCAATCTTTATCCATCGATCGATAGAATATTCGAGGGCGGCGAGCCACCTGAAAGCCAAACACAATTTTTTCGTGAAACACAATTTTTCCTGGGTGAAATTCGTAATCTTATAGAATATTTCGTTATACGCTCGTGGGTTCTATTGTTTCACAAGAGTGTTCGAGTGTATCTTTTTTTTTTTTTTTTAATTGAATGTTTAAGGTCACATGCACCTTCTTAGGTTATGAGTGACCACGTTTGCTTTGGAACTGTAAGGTACTTATGTAGGTTCATAATTATCTTCAAGGCTTACAGTTTGTGATAGATTCCGATATCTTTCAGGAAGGCTAGGATTTTTCTGCATGAGTTTGCCTTTTGTAGCATGCTTGTTACGCTTGATATATTATATCGCATCCTTTTGGCACAGTATTTGGGGTATTGGTCTAGGATTTGTTCGAGTGTATCTTTGTTTTACGGTTTAACTTGGAAAATTAAAAAATAGTAGAATTCTTTTGACAATTACTTTCATCTCGATGACGTTAAAATCGAGGATCTGCAATCTTATAGAATATTTCGTTATCCACTCGTGAGTTCTATTATTTTACAAGAATATTCGAGTGTATCTTTCTGTTTTTCTTTTTTTTTTTTTTTTTTTTTTTTGAGTGTTTTAGGTCACATGCACCTTGATGGTTATTAGTGACCACAATTGGGTTACCTAGTGGAACTGATCATATTTAGAGCAAATTGGTATACTTTAATGTCTTTTAATAAGTTTGAAACTTTTTTGCATGATTTCTCGTAGGATCGTTAGTGAATTTTGTAGCTTATGTTTGAATCCTCTTTATATCGTATTTAGGGCAAATTGTCAAGATGAGTTCAATAGTATTTTGTACGTTACAGGTGTCGCAGGAATTTTGTTTTATGGTTTAACTTAGTTTAGAAACACTGCAGAACTCTTTTGACAATTCTTTAGAATCCGCGATCTTATAGAATATTTCATTATCCACTCGTGAGTTCTATTGTTTTACAAGAGTGGTTCGAGTGTATCTTTGTTTTATGGTTTAACTTGGAAATTTAGAAACACTGCAGAAAACTCTTTTGACAATTGCTTTCATCTCGATGAAGTTAAAATCGAGGATCCACAAAAAATGTTTCAGGCTGAACCATCCTGCGCAGGGGGGGAGTCATTGGTAACAATTGTTCCAAGTAAACAATCGATAACCATATTAGGTCAACAAGGGTCAAGAAATCCGTGTCACCCATTGTAAGAACATCCTATGTACTAGATGCTTCCTTTGACGTGTAATTCAAACAGTATTTGAAATACCATTGTTCCGAATCTTCAACACCATAACGATTAAAGGTCCTTGTTCCACGAAGCACAGTGTACCATGTTTTTAATTCGTGCAATTTTTAATTTTAGAGCATCTAAATATTTATAGCCAATTTACCAGAATTTTGAAGTTCAAAGATACATCGTGTTTGGTATTCCAGGGTTAAGAATTCAAGTAATATTAGAATATCTAAGTATTCGAACGGTATTCGGTATAGTTATTTTGTTCGACGAATATTTTTGAGTACAGTAAAATTCTGGAGCTAGGGAAAATGAAATATGGCGGATAATTGGACTATATTTACATACGAAGTGATAAAAACGTGAAAATGGACCATTTTTACGGGGTTAAGGAGTAACTTTTGGAACGTTCTTAGAATTTCTCAACATTCTTCATCAAAATACACGTTATTTGAAATTTTTTCTTCTCGAATTTTTTTCTCGAAAGTGGATAGGATTTCGGGGGTATGTCTATTCACCAAAAATGATTGCAATTGACCCGCGCAACTGAAAATAATTTTTTTAAAGCGATTTGGAATTTTTTATTTTCATCAAAAAATTTAGATACCTTCTGAATTTTTTTTCTCGAAAGTGCGTAGGAATTCGGGGGTATGTCTATTCACCAAAAATGATTGCAATTGACCCGCACAACCGAAAATAATTTTTCCAAAACGATTTGAAATTTTTTTTTTCCTTCGAAAAATTTCACACCTTCTCGAATTTTTTTCTCGAAAATGCATAGGATTTCAGGTGTATGTCTATTGACCAAAAATGATTGTAATTGACCCCCGCGCTAGAAAATATTTTTTTTAGAACGATTTGAAATTTTTTTATTTGACGGAAAATTTAGGTACCTACCCTCCGTCGATTTTTCTTAGAAATTTGTTTCTAATTTTTAGTAATTTTGTTCGACGCTCTACGGAAAAGTTGTCTAATACTTTTTTATAAGTACCCATGAGCTCTACTTCAGAAAAAAGTTTCATTGAAATATATGCACTATTGTAGAAGTTATGGCTGTTTGAATATAGGACCATTTTTATGGGTTTTTTTTTCACTTTACGAGGCTAAGGAACAACTTTTCGAATATTTTTAGAATTTCTACATATTCCTCACCAAAGTACGCGTTGTTTGCCGTTTGAAACATTAAAATCCTCCAATCCGTTCAGGAGTTATGATTGTTTAAACATACGCATGCAATTTCAGGGGACTTAGACATAGTCAGACATTGCGTTTTCACTAAAGAATTTTTTTCTCGAAAGTGCATAGGATTTCGGGGGTATGTGTACTGACCAAAAATGATTGCAATTGACCCCCGCGATTGAAAATAATTTTTTTAGAACGATTTGAAATTTTTTTTTTTTTGGTTTTTAGTTATCCAATAAAAGAAGTTTTATGTCCAGTTATATAACTTCGTTAGTTTTCAGAATTTCAATTTAATAGGTAGATATATTTTCGAGACTTCATACTAAAAGAAAACGCAAAAAAAAGTCAATTTTTTAAATCAGACAAAGTAGAAAGGCATCTTAGTTAGGTCTGGGTTAAATTTTAATTAGTTTTTAGTTATCCAATAAAAGAAGTTTTATGTCCAATTATACCTGCGCGTGGTACACTACAGCAGACTATAACTTCGTTAATTATTCAAATTTCAGTTTAATATTTGGTAGATATATTTTCGAAACTTCATACTAAAAGAAAATGCAAAAAAAATTCAATTTTTTAAATCAGACAAAGTAGAAAGGCAACTTAGTTAGGTCTGGGTTAGGTAGATAATATTCGGTAAATATATTTTCGAGACTATACACTAAAAGAAAATACAAAAAAGAATTCAATTTTATAAATCCCACAAAGTAGAAAGGCCCCCCTTAAGGCAATTTGTATTATTCATTTGTAGGCGTAACATAATATAATCCCCGTAGCATTTACCGAAGAATAATCGGAATATGCCGGTTATTCGGACATTCCTAATAGAATAATCGGAATAATAATCGTAATTCTGCTGTACATCGAAGAAGAAGTCCCCGACCGTGGTCGGAAAACCGTCGCAATCTATTTAAAGCACGGAACATTCCTCACCGTTTCTTGTCCATTTCGGATTCTGTGGCGAAGATGTAATTCCTCTGCGTGGGATCCGGTGGCTGTAGCTCGAACGCGTGCTTCCTGCCGCCGGAAGTGGGCGCGCTGCCGTGGACGCTGAACCCGTGAAGGCAGGCGACGCCGAACGCCTTCTCCGCGTTCGCGTCGTCGTAGAAATACAACGCGGCGTCTTTCAGCACGCAATAGCGTCTGGACCATCCGGTCGGCGAGGACGTTTTTCTCGCGTACTCTTGCTGCTTGCTCAGGTATCCGAAGCAATCCGGTCTCTGAATGGCGCACGCCGCCATTTCGCGCATCCTCAACGACGCTTCCAGCCAGGTGTCGACCTGCAAAACACGCCCGGAATCTCGAATAAAACCGAGGAATTCGTACAAATTGAAACGGACATTCGCAATAAACCGTCCACTTTGAGGGCTGACATTTTCACCCCCCCGGAGAAAAATGATCGAAATTTTTCATCGTATACACGTCGATCTTTGAGCTTTTGTAATTTTACGAAAAGAATTTTAACGGAACTTTACTTTGGTACCCCTGAGTTGAATTCTTTCGAAGATTACTTCAGTTTGATAAATGCTTCGAATTCGTACGGTAATCAAATATTTAAAGAATTGATTACGCGTTACACGCGTTAAAAAGGAGATCGACAGCCGTGGCCCATCGATGACCCACGCCGCGTGAATGAAAAGCCACGTGAAATTGGCGCAGCACGGAACCCATTAACCCGCGAAGCCATAAATCTCATTATAAGAAATTGCATCTTTAAAAAGTTCGAATGGAAAAGTCTACGTCGTCGGAAAGTAAATCGCTGGAGCGAATACGAATTTAACGAACGTTTTAAATCGCAATTATTTACGTGTTTCCAAAAATGTCAAAAATCAAATAACAGAGAAACTACCCATCTAGAAAATTTATTACGTATTTCCCCAATAGTGGAAATAGCAGAAAATGTTCGAAGCATTGATATTATATTCAACGCGAACGTTCCGGGATCGAGCGAAACTCGAGCTGCTGAAAATTTTAATTTTCAGAGTTCCGTTTCGCGAACTAAGTCTAATTAGTTCGGATCGATCCCGTCATAAAATTTCCCCCGATTGAACAATGCAATTCCACCACCCCCTCCCGGCCCCGAAACGCTTCAATTTTCCCGGGTCGAAGTTGGCTCGGTGAAACAACTCTCGTAACTATATCGCCGAAGTCCAGAAATTTTAAAACGAATCCTATTTTCTTAAACTCGAAGGACCTCGAAGTTTCCGCATATTATTAAATCCGCGGACTTCAGCTCGAACGGAGCATCCAGAATGATTTTTGATTCAGCTTACTCCATTTTCCAAACAATTTTCTGTTGCTCCGCTATCAGGATTTTGGGATCGATAAAATCAGACTTTATTCAATGGCTCTTTATGTTATTTTATGTTCCTCCGTCTTCGAGCGACTTTAATTATTCCGCCATGAATCGTTATTGTAATAGCCTCGTATCGATTAACCAGTTATTCCATGCATTAATTACGAATCGTTGGCCGAGTTTCGAGCGGTCGGGGGTACGCACCTGGTCGTTCCTCTCGATGGCTTCCTTAATGACAGTCGTCCATCGGATGGCAGCCTCCTCGGTGTCCGCCGCGAGCCGTAGCGTCGGTGCACCCTGTTTCTTTATCGCGAAACTGTGCAACCTCAGTTCAGGCGTTTGCTCCACGTCGTACTTTATCAGCATTACCGCCCCCACCGGCTGTGAATCCTGCGGGACGGGATCGCACCCTCGTTGAACCATTTATCGAATAAACGATCGTGTGTAAACACTTGTCATTTCGATGGATGTAATTCGCGGGACAAGTATAGAAGTTAAATGGGCTTCGCTCTCAACGAGGCGTGGTCGGACGACTTTACTTTTGACAAACGATCCCGACTTTCAAGTCACCATCTTTCGCGTTACTTGCCTCCGGTTACGTGGCTTGGATTACCTTTAGATAGCTATGCTTGCTAACGACCAAATCAAATAGCAATCGGTCGAATGTTTCTCAAAAAGTTCATTAAAAAAAAAACGAAAATTGCCTTTGAAAACTTATATATTTACGTTGGCCACTCGATAGAATTATTCTTCGATCTTTATACGAATTAAGCTTCTCTATACACGTGTGTATATTTTGGTTAATTAAGAATTGATTCCGCCATTTTGCAAAAGTATATTAAAATCGCAAGGGAACAGGATCTTCCCAAGTGTCTGTTAACAAAATTTCAAATAAATCTGATTGTTCCACGAAGTAGAAGCTCCCTATATTTCGTTTCACTTAACCGGGTACTCTATGTTTCCGCCATTTTGCAAAAGTAAATGAAAATCACAAGAGAACAGGTTCTCCCCAAGCGTTTGTTAACAAAATTACAAATAAAACTGATTGTTCCACGAAGTAAAAGTCCCCCTATATTTCATTTCACTTAACCGGGAACTCTACGTTTCCGCCATTTTGCAAAAGTAAATGAACACGCTCTTCCCAAGCATCTGTTAACAAAATTTCAAATAAAACTGATTGTTCCACGAAGTAAAAGTCCCCCACATTTCATTTCACTTAACCGAGTACTCCGCCATTGTGCAAAAGTAAATGAAAATCGCAAGAAAAAAGGCTCTTCAAATAAAACTTGCTGTTCCACGAAGTAAAAATCCACCACATTTCATTTCACTTAACCGGGAACTCTTCGTTTCCACCATTTTGCAAAAGTAAATGAACAGGCTCTTCATAAGCATCTGTTAACAAAATTTCAAATAAAACTGGCTGTTCCACGAAGTAAAAGTCCCCCTATATTTCATTTCACTTAACCGGGAACTCTACGTTTCCGACATTTTGCAAAAGTAAATGAAAATTACAAGAGAATAGGCTCTGTACAAGTGTCTGTTAACAAAATTACAAATAAAATTGATTGTTCCACGAAGTGGAAGCCCCCTATATTTCATTTCACTTAACCGGGTACTCTACATTTCCGCTATTGTACAAAAGTAAATGAAAATCGCAAGAAAACAGGCTCTTCAAATAAAACTTGCTGTTCCACGAAGTAAAAATCCCCCCATATTTCATTTCACTTAACCGGGTACTCTACGTTTCCGCCATGTTGCAAAAGTAAATGAACAGTCTCTTCCCAAGCATCTATTAACAAAATTTCAAATAAAACTGACTATTCCACGAAGTAGAAACCCCCTATATTTCATTTCACTTAACCGGGGGCTGTGCGTTTCTACGCGAACGAAGGTGTAAATAGTATTTGGACTCACCGCGTCAGTCTTGTAATAGTAGAAGCAGTTGTCGCGACGCAGAGCAAACCATCTTCGAACCCACTTGTCCGTGTTGGTGGATGTGGTGGATTTTCTCCAAAGGTAGCCGGAACAGAGGGGCGCCTCCTGTGGGTCTTCCTTCGCCCCTGACCTGGCGACTTTCGGTGCCAATACGTTGCAGGTTCTCGCCACTTCGAGTTCAAGGACGTCGGTGCCAGAGTGCGCAAGCCTGACGACTTCCGAGTGCGTCGCGTCCATGACACTTTTCCCGTTCACCGACATCACAATGTCACCGATCTCGAGGCCCGAGCTCTCCGCCGGCGTATCCGGCTCGATGGCGGACACCACCGCCGGTTTCGAGCCGTGTATGCGAAACCCGAACTCCCCTCCAGCCTCACGTTTCACTATCACCCTCTTGTCGCTCTCTGCAATTAACGCGATCATCCAAATAAAAATCATCCTCGCCAATCCAAGTAAAAATCTATCTTCCATTCGATGTCTCAACCATTGATTTTACCCCCCAGACAACATATTAGAAATAGTAATTTTACCGATACTTTATCGTTAATTAACTCCCACCCGACCCGTTAATAGTCGAGCTATTAAGCCAGGTAATCTGTTGGGAGGCTCCCGACGATCAGAGAATCAAAGGACCTTAATTAAAATTTCTTTTCTTCTCATTCCTCCTGCGAATTAAAATGTTCGTTCAAACTTCGCGCCAAGTATTCTTCGATCGTTGCGTATCGATATGGAGACAATAAACGCGAGAATATAGTTTTTAAATTCGATCTAACCGCGAAATAAATATTTCTCGATTACGAGTCTTCCATATTCGCGCCATTCATATTTTAATTCGCAATTATTCTCTCCCGCGGGACGCGACGCGGATCGTCGAAGTTTCCGCCGCGCACGGGATGTTTTCCGTACGCGCAGCCATGCAATAAATCATCCCCCCGCGCGTACGGGGGAAATTTATAGGGAGAGTTTTCCGGCCGGTTAAGGCTCGTCTCGATTCTTCAAACTTATTTCCAGACCCGGCGGGGGTTTGTTTTCTGTTTCATATCACGTTATTACGCGTCCGCGAAAGCGGTCTTCCGGGCAAATAGACTCTGTCTCGCCAGCCACTGAATCGTTTTTGTCTTTATTTTCTTTTCGCAACGCTCCTCGAGGAAAGTTTAATCGAATTAATGCAATGCCAAGTAGGCGCGCGAAACCGACGCGAACAGATCGAATACTTTACATTTTAATATTTACGTTACGCGAAACCGACGCGATCGCGCAAAGGGAAAATGCTTTTGTCGTGGGGAAAAAAACAGTCGGAAATGCGGAGTAAAGTTTCCACGCGTGGATAGAAAGGGGAGGAATGGGGGTGCTTTGTTTTCGAGAAAATCGAATTTCAATGTTCAAACGCGACAATAGGATGTGCATTTAACTGCGTTTTGGTGAATGCGTCCCGCTGTAACTCGATGGTTCTAGCAGTTCTTGTTTGCAAAAATTGACAGCGACGAAAACAATACGGTGTACGTTCTATAGTTTGTTTATCCGCCGGCCGTGTTATTTTCGAACGTATTAACGCGCGTAGCTTCTGGACGCGTTTCCTCGTTTGCGTATCGAATCTCGTTTGATACGGACCGATGGACTTTCAATTTTAAATTTCATTCGATCGTGAAGAGTTTGCGTTGTGTGTTGGATCCACGCTTCCCCGTCGATTAACATCCGCTAAGTGCTTTACTACTAACGACGACGATCGAGAAATTATGGATGTTCTCTTTAATATTCAATTTTACTGTGCTCATCGAGAACCTCGAAGGAAACTGAGATTGTTGGGGGCTACGTACTTAGAAGGACCGATTAGGAGCTAATTATGCCGCTAAAAGACAAGTATAGTTAATGATATAATAATCAAAAATATTTTTTTTTAAATAAATTTTCCTAAAAATAATCACTGCATTTAGATGATCGATCGCACGTTTAGTATCAAAGGACCGATTAGAAGCAAATTATGTCACTAAAAGACAAGTATAGTTAATGATATAATAATCAATAATTTTTTTTTTAAATAAATTTTCCAAAAAATAATCACTGCATTTAGATGATCGATCGCACGTTTAGTATCAAAGGACCGATTAGAAGCAAATTATGCCACTAAAAGACAAGTATAGTTAATGATATAATAATCAAAAAATTCTTTTTTTTTTAAATAAATTTTTAAAAATAACCACTGCATTTAGTATGATTATATTTACTTTGATATTAAAGTTGCAAATGAATGACTTCGAAGATTTTTCGGTGATTTCTTCACGGTTTAGCTTTCTTACGTAACTACACGGTGGCACGTTTAGTATCAAACGATCTGATTCACTCGTAGAAATTTCTACGAACGCCAGTGAAGCGGACGATGCCTTTTTAAGTTTGTAGTGGAGATCATTGCACTCGTAGGACACTGGCCAAAAATTGTTGGGCGTCATAGCAACGTGTATAATGCACCGAATACCGATGCAAAATGTTCGAACTATATTGCTATTTTCGTAGACTAGTCTTTCACTTCAACCGATGCTTGCGATATTTATTTTACGGAAAATATTTCTATATTACTTGCTTCTCGATATATTTTTCGTTTAAAAAATTTCGCAATTAATCCGACGAATGGAACGAATTATAAATCCAACGTTGTACCAAGAATTTTCTGTAAACTCGATAGACGGGAAGAAAAACTTTTCAGTTAATTTCCGGGATACACAAACGACATAAAAAGAGATCGGATCCGTCTCGTCAATGCGCTCGGAATTGTTGATTGGTAAAATTAAATTCACTTCGGTTTCATTTTCCGCTTAATTGCTATCGGGGTTTCGTGCGAGAGACACGCTAAATTAAGTTTCAAATAATTGGGTATATTCGTGAATTTCAATATCACCGTTAATCGCAAATATTGAGTGCTCTTAAGGATATTACAAGTCGATTACGTTTATATTATAGAATTGCATTTTAATATTTTGTTGTTTCACGAAATTAAAATTCCACGCGACAAGAAAAAACATTCATAAAAATATGTTTGTTCAGGCTCTGTAAACTGAGGTCGGGAATAATTCAATGTTTCTTTTTCGTAATCGTAGTAATACTTTTCTTACGTTTCCGTTGCAATAACAATCCTTCCATAACAAATGATCCGCTGTCGGGAATATTTATACTGCCTCGAGAAGCGCAAACAGCGAGCTATGTTATTATTCCAGCAACGAAAACATGTTAGTATGCAATTCGTCTCTGGTACAGTAACAGAGAATTCTGCAAAATGCATTATGTTCGCGGAGAAAGGCTACGAATATAATACGTAATTTGAATTTTAAACAGCGTCGTGTTTTACTGAATTTAAGCGTCGCGAATATTATTTTTTTTATTTACACGTTACTGTTCTACGTTCAAGAGAGAATTTCAGTTTTGTAAATCGTAAACCCGTCTTGCGAAACGGAGATAAATTTTACGACGTGATGATTCTATTCAAATAATATTGCAATTCGATTATTTGGGACTAGTTTAGCAATGGATGCGTTTTATGGCTGAAATATTTCTACGAGACGTTCGGAGACAAACGATCGGTATCAATCGCGTGTTCGAGAAACGAGAAATTTCTGTAATTCGGACTGTTTGTCGTGCAGATTCGAGGAGAGAGGGAGAGTACTATTCACGCCCCAAAGCAAGTGCACAAATAGAAAGGTATACAGGGTAAAAATAAAATGAAAGCGGGACAGTGCACGTCGCTGCGGCTACATAAGTAAATGCACTTCTAGATCATTATTTCTTGCACTTTTAGCAACGTAAACGACTGGCAAGGCGGGGAAAACCAGCGAAAAATTATTTAATAAAACCAGATACCTCGACGAGAACAAACACGATTCTGGAAAAATAATACAAAGAAATTTCATTCGATCGTATAGCATTGATTAAAAATCGAGTAGAAATGTGGTAAGAATTAAAATAAAAGAAGAAACAGAAGATTGTTATTAACCTGTTGACTGGGGCGCGTCCTAGGAAGAATCCATCAACATAGATGGCGCGATCGTCGCATGTCTGGTGACCAAAAAAGTACCCCGGAGATTTAAGAGACCATTCTTTTACGGTTCAAAAAAATAATAAATGCAAATAAATTAAAATATCCAATTTTTATTCAATTCCATATCAATTGGTAAAACAGTAAAAAAAATGCAGAGGACGTAAATTTACGTTTTTCGTATATGTATATTGATGAATACATGAGAGCGTATATTTACGTCTTTCGTATACAGGGTGTTCCGTAAATAGTGTAAGAACCGGAAATGGGGGGTAGGTGAGACGATTCTAAACAACAATTTCCTTTGCAAAAGTGTCGGATGGGGCTACGTTTTTGAATTATTAACGAAAAACACTGACCAATCACTGACCATATCGATAGACTTCTGAAAGCGTATATATACGCCTTTATCAGTCAAAGGGTTAAAACAAATAGCTCGAAATAAATGAACGATTCTGTGAATGCGATCGAATAAGAACACGCGTAATATTTTTAACCGTTGTTGCGCATGCGCGTGGGCCACACGTGGGTTTGCAATTATTTTGATCGATGTTCCAGGGAACGACAGGCGATTTGCAGGAACCGTCCTCCCCTCGTTGGATTAATTGCGTAACTGCGTAATAGGAAATTACTATTCAACCGTAATAATGATTTCCAATTTCGTTTCAATTACTACTTTGAAATGTGGCACACGTTGCGACACCGTGCACGCGTTTCTGTTTACACGCGGCTACTTGTTACGCGCGCGCGCGCGCGCGTGATCGATTCGGATCGAACCCGGGGCGATGGTAAAATAAGACAGAAACTGTGTTATCGCGGCGCGAGTGGGCGACGCATCGCGAAAATAATTAGTTGCGTCACCGCGTTCCGTGCATACCGTGCCATGTTTGCAAAACGACCACTACCCGCTAACAATAAATAGCGACTCTAATTTTCGCGACAACTGGGCCAAAAAATGTGCCAAATTTCTAAATAATTATAATTGTATATATATTTTATTATTATGAAATAATTATATATATTTTATAATTATGAAATAATTATATATATATATTTTATAATTATGAAATAATTAGAAGGCATCATTCGACAGATTCTGCACTTCGAATTCTGCATAATTGTTTATAGCAAATGTGATGGGAAAGTGGTGAAAAATTTTGTTGAAATTGAGGATGTTACGAAAGACGAATCCATAACTTTCTGACTTCAAATAACTATAATTTCGAAGTGAATGCATGAAACGTAACGATTTCGATGCTATTTTGTAGAGAAAAGTCAATGTTTATATAATATGCAAGGAAATGTTGACCAGATTGTTGGTTCGTAATAATAAAATGCAAGAGATTAAGATATGATGTATTAGGATGGAAATATTGCTAA